CCCTGGCTAATTCACAAAGCATGAAGGGCTTTAAGAAGTTGGTGATAAGACTGACCTTCTCAAAAGGTCATGCTGGTTGCCATGGAAAGCAAAGGTCAGGAATATTATTGCCCTTGATCAGGCAATGACTGTGTGAGCTCAGAAAAAGGAAGGCAGAGGGCTCAGGGCTGAAAGTGAGCAGAGATGTAGGACATGGGGAGACAGAATGGGGTTCTGAAGAAGTGAGGGATGTCCTGATAACCATTGCTACAGCTACATGTTCTAGAGTGTTCTCTGTCTGCCCTGCACTGCTCTGTGTTTAGCTGTATGGACTCACTGAATCCTCCGGATCTCTGTGAGTTCAAGGCCAGCCTGGTCTACATAGTGAGTTCCAGGACAGCTGGGGCTACAGGGAGACCCTATCTCAAAAAGATAAAAAAAAATTATTATTTTTATTTTATGTGTATGATTGTATTGCCTGCATGTATGTAAATGCACTAGTGTCATGCAATGCCTGTGATGGTCAGAAGAGGGCATCAGATTCCCCTGGAACTGGAGTTACAAAGGTTGTTATTCCCTATGTGGGTGCTAGAAATCCAACCCAGGTCCTCTGCAAGAGCAGCCAGTGCTTTTAACCACTGAACAAGTCTCCAGCCCCTGTTGTTACTATTTTAAAGTAAGCTGAATATATATAATTCCATCAGTTCTCTTCCTCTAAGAGAACCCTGGCTAATTCACAAAGCATGAAGGGCTTTAAGAAGTTGGTGATAAGACTGACCTTCTCAAAAGGTCATGCTGGTTGCCATGGAAAGCAAAGGTCAGGAATATTATTGCCCTTGATCAGGCAATGACTGTGTGAGCTCAGAAAAAGGAAGGCAGAGGGCTCAGGGCTGAAAGTGAGCAGAGATGTAGGACATGGGGAGACAGAATGGGGTTCTGAAGAAGTGAGGGATGTCCTGATAACCATTGCTACAGCTACATGTTCTAGAGTGTTCTCTGTCTGCCCTGCACTGCTCTGTGTTTAGCTGTATGGACTCACTGAATCCTCATTATAGGCCTGTGAGGGAAGCACTTCCATCACCATCATTGAGATGCTGGGTTCCATAAAGTTGCTGTGAACTCTCACTGAGTAATTCTTAGGAGGCACAGGCTGGGTCCCTGCAAGATTCTGGTCATATCAAATGGGCAATACATAGTCTTGTTTGATGTGTATTTCTGTTTAGAGATGCCTCATTTAATATATATTATTGAGTTGTTAACATTGATCTTGAAGCAATAACACAACTCATGTTGGAGTGACAAATACTGGATACACATTTTTCATGTAAGGTATGCCACAGCCTGTGTTTACTTTGGCTCTAGGCTTGGGACCACTTTCAAACAATGAGATTACCAACAAGAAGCATATAAATGTGGAAAATGTGACAGTGAATAGACTGATGAGGATACTTGCTTATACTGTGACAGGGAAGCAAGCGGGCAAAGTGACACCTTGGCAGGAACACGTTCCACAGACCTTCCAGCATTTTGCCACTCTGCTCTTTGCAAAATGACAGCAAGAGAGCTGAGAGCAACGACTAGGGGTCAAAAAATGCTAGCGCATCAGTGAATTCACAAAACAGAATCTGCAGATAATGAGGATGAACTGTATTTGTATTTTACAGATGGGGAAACTGAGATGTCAAAGGGTAACTTGCTCAAGTTTACACAAATGCAAGGATCCAAAGCTATAGAGCCATAATTGCTTCTCACTGTCCTATAAAGTTTTATGACGGTCCTCTCAGTCTTTCTGTCTGACTCGAGGCTGTGCCACAAGGGAAAGAATCCCAGGACACAGGGAGAAAGTGTCAGAAAATGGGGCTCCCCTCAGCAAATTCCCTTCTCTCCCAGTTCCTGGCCCTCAAATCCTAGCTGTCTTTCCATTACTGAGCTATATGTGTAGCCTGGTTTTGTTTTTTATGTTTTATTTTTCCTTTTTTTTTTTTTTTTTTTGAGACAGTGTCTCCTGTATCCCAGGTTGGCCCTGAGCCTGCTACCCAGCAGACAATGACCTTGAACTTCTGACTCTCCAGTCTCTACTTTCCAAGTGCAGGAATGCAGGGATTACAGGTGTGTGCCACCATGCCTATCCATATCCAGCTGTTTTTAATTATCAAAATAGCCCTCTTCCAAATACTCCTTGCCTTACATCTTCCTATTTTGGCCAATTTAACCTTCCTTAGGTAACTGCTAAACCTTTCAGAATATGTCTTCTCCCTCAATGGTGGGAGACATGGTTTCATACTTGTAGAATGGTCATAGGGATTAAGCAAGAGATCAGGAATACCTCAGATATAGGGCCTGAGGGTGTGCCTTAAGTTTCTGCTTTGAAATACATTAACCAAAGTGTCAAAGGTAAACTTTAGCCCCTGCCCCAGGAAGAGCAAGCTTTACTGAGGAGGGCAGGCAATATTCACAGTGCTGGGATCCTCATGTATGAGTGTTCTTTTCCTTTAAAAAATTTTTTACTTCTAATTTTTTTATACATCTGTGTGTGGATACTGGAGGAAGTCAAAAGAGGGTGTCGAATTTGATGGAGATGGATTACAGGCAGTAGTGAGCCACTCACTAGGTGCTACGAAATGAACTGGAAGAACAGTAAGTGCTCTTAACCACTGAGTCATATCTCCAGTCCCTGATAAGTCCACTTGCTGAAGTCACCCAGGGCCCTATATGCCCTGGCAAGGCTTGCTATCCCGGGCTCCCTTATCTCCAGGTTCCATGCGTCTGTGTGCTCAGCACAGCATCTGCTGCTGGAAGCATTTGAGAAATACCAGATAGTTTCAAGGCCTTAGGCTTGGGGGCAGAACCACATGGCCCAATCCGTATACATCCCAACCTGGCCTTTGTGAGGTTTTCCCTAAGTCTCCTGGTCTCTCATAAGCGTTGACTATCAGTCTTCCCTTTCAAGGGGGGAAATGAGCTGATACCACCACTTTTAGTGTCTGATGTGTTAATTCATGGCAGGCCTTGTGCTTAGTAATTCCAGCGAATAAGTGGATCATTTCCAACAGCGTTAGTTGAGAGAGTATATTTAATTAAAAAATAAAAAGGGCCTGTTAATTTTTAGTATGGTTTGGCAGTTAGTTGTTTTGTACATTGCAGATTTTAGTACAGCATTTTTTTCTTTTTTCGTTTAAGTTCCAAAAGGAAAGCACTTATTCTCTCAGAGTGTCTGAGATATTTTGTAGTAATAATTTGTGTAAAATGGACTCATGGGATAGATTTTTTTGCATTTTTAGTTCGGTGAAAACCATCTATCATAAGGCTTGCCACTGTAACCGTTTCTACATGCACACCGTTCAGTAGTGCTGCTTTACACTCATGTTGTTGGGAAACAGACCTCTAGAGCTGTATCTTGCAAAAGTGAAATGCCATAACCATTAAATGACTCCTTTTTCCCTCTTTCTCCTATGGAGTAGAACTTTGACCATTTATAAATCAAACACCTGAATTACTTAGTAGTTCATTTGTGTTTGCAATATCTAATGTTACAGTAAACATGAATGTATGTTAATTGAGTTTATTATTTCATTTTGAGCCATAGAAGAGAAACACATTTTAGATATCAGAAATAAACTTTGAATTTGTACTAAATTGCGAAGGTAATAGATTTTCACAAGTTATTTGTGCCTTGTTAAAAATATCAGTTGTCTTTAAGTCTACCTGTCATAGGTTTCAGAATACATTTTTCTTTCAAAATGACAACCCAATTTAAGTTGCTTGAATACTACAATAGGAATGCTTACTGGTATTACTTGATAATCATGTATATCCTTGGAACTTTAACATATATACAACTATAGCAGTATTAATAATTACAGTTGTATGCCTTTAAAATATTAAATTTGAGGAAGCTGTAAAAAAAATCTAAATATAGCTCAAGTAGTTCCAAAGAAATTTGATATGTGAATTGAGAAGTAGTGGAAGTGTTTGAGTAAAAGAATGTAAGATATGTCTTTAACAATTCTAAAAACAGAATTACCTGTTGAAATATTTTGTATATTCAAGGTTATTTAATAAATAAAATGAATCTCACTTGTTTTACTTCTTTGGTGTAGCTACTAGAAAATTTGGAATGCCCCCATCGTTCCTTTGCCCATCCACCTCCCCCTCCGGGAATGCCCGCCCCAACTCCTTTGGCTTCAAGACTCTGATAAAATATTTTGTCACGAACTGGGAAACCTTCCCTAACGTCACTGCCATCCTTTGACCTAACTCCTTTTAAGTCATGGGTTAACTGAGTATGTTATTCCTTTGCATTTCCAAGGAAAGAAAGAACTAATTTGGAGCGCTAAAGTCCAGTTTAATTCTCCAGAACCGCAAAATGGGTGCTACCCTTTATCTTTCCTGTACAGAAAGCAAAGCCCACTCGGCACCCCTATGAATCCCCCGCAAGGTCACAGAATTTGGAATCATGGCTGTGTCATTTTCCGAAAGCTGGACTCCAAGGCCCAGCCTGGTATACCTGTGATCCCAGTATTCGGAAGATAGGCAGAGGCAGGAGGATCACCGCACGTCTGGGCCAGCCTGGGGTACACAGTGAGTTCCAGGCCAGCCATAACTCCTCCACAACTGAGAGTAACCCCACTCGAAGGCATTTTGCCCTGTGTGTTGCACTTAGTATGCAGTATGACTTGTGTCCATACACATGCTGTATACTTGTATCATGTAACACTGCATGGCACGTATTAATGTTACTGAAATTTAAGTCCCGACAAAGGAAGCGGCCAGCTTCAAACCAGACCCTGTGGGACTCATCGCGGTGCACCTGCCCTGCCGCTGCTGGACAAAACAGCCACTTCCCGGGCGAAGGCGGAAGCCCACGCATAAGCCGCCAGACACAGCAGAGCGAGTTCCCGGGCCACCACCGCGTGCAGCGCGTGCCCGCTCAGAGCGCGTGCATGACCCAGAGCGCGCGCGTGCCCGGTGCGTGCGCGGCCTGCGCTCCGGCGTGTGGCCGGTGTGGCGCGCGTACTCACCGGGTGGCGGGTGGCGCAGGCCGCTGAGGTTCCAGCGTGAAGGTCTCGACCGCTGGAGGCCGGAGCGGACTGCCTTAGGAGGCGCGGGGCCGGGGTGGAGGCCTGGGCCGCGAGTGGAGACGCCGTCCGGGAAAGCAGGCCCGAGGCTGCGCGGCGTCCGAGCGTCCACATGCTGCTCCGGCAGTGCCGCTGCTCCGCCCCCGGGGAGGGCTCGGCGGCGACACCTGGTGGCCGTGGGCCGTAAGCGCCCAGGCTGGGCCTCGCTCTCGGGTCTCCGGTGAGAGGGAGACCCCAGGAAGAACTGCCCGCGTAGCACTGTGCACTGTTAACCAGAGCCTTGCCTGCTCTGTGCGCACCCCTTGGGCAACGTGGACGTAAGAGTCTGTCCGCTCAACAAACATTTATTGAGTGCTAACGGGACATTCTGAACTTAGTTCTAACATCTCCAAATAGCATGATACTTTCTCTCAAATTTTGTGTCACTTAGGGACTAGAATAGTACCGGGATGATGGATGCATCGGGAGCTAGTGTTCTTCAAGATGCAGCCCCTTGGTTGCATCCGCATGCTCCGTGCATATATTGGCAGCACTAACTGGGTTCAGTGGTCAAACAACAACAACAACAAAAAAAAAAAAAAAAAACATGAAATTGGGAGGGAGACGTGGTGGGTGGTTCTGGTAGGGAAGGGAGTAGAGGTGGTTGTAGTCAAAACACATTGATTACCTGTATGAAATTCTCAAATAATAAGAGTAATACTAAGTACCTGGCTGAGTTTTGGGTGGGGAGGCTCTGGAGTGACGATTGGGTCTCATCCTAGCTTCGTTTCATTCAGCTCCAGCAGGTTCATCGGTGTTCAGCTGCTGGTCTCCCTCCAATTCCTGTTTGAGGAGTCTGCCTGGCCAAGCACTGTAGGGTAGCCACCCGCAGTGCCCGATGGGAACTCATTGATATTCAAGGAGCCGGGAAACTGCTAAAGGGGCCTTCTTCCCCCAGGGCCTCAAGAGAGGTTGAGGAACTATGCAGTAAGATGCTGACAGCATCTCTTTTGTGTATCCTGGCTTGGATAGTGGTTCTGTTTTCCCACAGAAAGGCTTCCTGTGACCACAAAGGAAAGCTAGGGTTTGTGGCAATTCCTAATTAAGTATTTCTTTCATTTGGTTCTAATTTTCAGATGTGTACTTGGAGGCCCAGACATTGTAAGTGACATGCCTGTGATTGAAGGGGAGCTAAAACTCTGGCCTCAGACCTACAGTTTTAGAAAAGTTTTCCTGGTTTCAGTATCCTGCTCAGGGAAGCGCTCTGTTGGAATCACATGCCCATCCATTGGCACTAATACTCTGTCAAGGGATAAGGGAAACATAACTGTCAGCTGTCATGGTCCATTTTGGGCTGCTATAACATACTGCCTGACCCTGGTTAATTTATTTTTTATTAATTAATTTTTATTTTATATGTATGCCTGTAATCCCCACGAAGGTCAGAAGAGGGTGTCTGATGCCCTGGAACTGGAGTTACGGATGGTTATTATTAGGGTTTCAAACAGCAGCACCCCCACTCCCCAACAGGGACCCCGTGGACTTTGGATTTTCAAGCCTGAAAAAGGGAACTGAGCTGATAAGCACCTTGGCCTTTCAAGTCAAGGGAAGCAGATTCTTCTAAGAGGCAGCCTGCCTTTCCTCTGATCTCCAAAGACAAGATAAGCAGTCCCCAAACACTCCCCCCACCTTTTGCACCCTGATGCCCCCCCCCCATATATAAGCCCCAGCTCACAACCCATAGGCTATTTTCACTTCCCCAAGGGGAACGTGTCCCATGCTAAATAAAGCTCTATCCTGCTGAGAGTTTTAGCTGTGTCTCGGTGCCTCATCCTCCATTCGCTCATTCTCCCGTAAATTTTTACCTATCAGTTATTAGCTGCCATGTGGGTGCTGGGAATTGAACCCAGGTTCTCTGGAAGAACAGCTGGTGCCCTTAACTACCTAGCCGCCTCTCCAGTCCCAACCCTGGTTAGTTTATTGATAGGTAAAAAGTTGGTGAAGAACAAGCAAATGGATGATGAGGCACCGAGGCACAGCTAAAACTCCATCAAAATAGGGTTTATTAGCAAAGGAACACATGGGGCAGATTCCCTTCCCAGCAGGGAAAATGTCTACCCGGATCTTGAGCTGGGGTCTTTTAAAAGGGAGGCTTCTGCTTCCTGCAAAAGGCGAGAAGATGTATTTTTTTTAAAGTTGGGCAGGGGGAGTGGGAGAGCTGGACTGTTAAAACCTGTCCTCTTTAGAGATCAAAGGGGAAGCCTGCTGTGTTGGCCAAACAGTGGAGAAAAGTCTGCTTCTCTTGACTTCAAGGACCAAGGTGCTTATCAGCTAGGTTCCCTTTTCTCCTTGGGATCCTGTTGGCGAGGAGGCAGGGCTATCTGAACCTTAACATTCCAGCCTTTTGTGTTATAGGAT